ACCCTGCCATTGTTCCAGCTATTCCTTGCTGTATCCAATCCAGAAGTCCACAAAAGGCTTTGGGAAGTGAGGGACTCTACATACAGATGCTTCCCAGCTACCACATGTTATGGCTTCTTTGCAAAGCAGAGAGGGCTGCTGCAAGTATACTTTGTTTGCTTACTTAAATAGGAACTAACTGTTATAAAGAATATACTGAAGCACATCCTCTTGCACTCTTCAGAAAGGCTCCTGTAGTTTACAGCAGCTTCAGTCAAGCTATCCCTCTCTAATCCCAGGCAAATCCACTTCCTTTCTCCTAATTCTGCAGACAATCCATCGTGATATATCAAAACTAAATAAAAATAAAAAAGCAGTAAATTCTAACTATAGTGGTAGTTAAGGGTGTGACAGGATATCCTCTATCCATTCAGTATCTTTAAAGCGTGGAAACAAGTTAAGGGTTAAACACTGATTTTAACCAACAAATTGCCTACAGCACTCTACCACTGACAATATACTCCAACATTCCGTGAGGCTTTCCATCCCATCACCAACACATGCTAAAAAGCAGTATGCATCTCAGCTTCATTAAACATGTCCTCCATTGCAAAACCTGAGAAAAATTTCCCAATGTACAAAATGATTGGTGATCAGGGTATTGATCTCTTCATAACACAATATAAAAGCTTGTGAAGGAATAAGGTTTGGCATTCTTTTAAGTGTCAAAGTGAATGGTTTTTGCTGCTAAATTTAGGTTTTTGTTTGCTAATAGTATAACAACTCATATTGCAATGAGACAAACCTTCAGTGACACACAGAAGTCTGCTTTTCTTTATTTTCTTAGGGTTTGTTTACATGAATTTTCTTGTGCAGCTTTAACTCTTTTGGTTTAACTTGTTGGTGTGCATGCAGTTTTATAGGTAGAAAAGCACTACAATGAGTAGAAGATAGAAACTATACCAATAAACCTATACTAGTGAAAACACCTGTATGCCACTATCCCTGCATCCATAGAAATTGGCTTGTGCCAAACAAATAGAAGCTCCCTGACCTGAAGGCCTTTCAGAGTAAATATATTTTCAAAGTATTTCTAACGGAGTGACCTTGGCATACAATAAAAAGGAAGCTTGTAATAGGGTGTACAAGACAGCACAAATTAGCAGGTGAAAAGAACAGAAAGAAGAGCTGGCTATGGTGTGAAGGAAGGAGACAGGAAGAGTAATAGAGTGCTTTAAAGGGAAGAAATGAACACATTACTATGTACAAAAAAGATAGAATTCAACAGAGACCATTAAGGGTACGACGTAGTCACAGTGGCAAGGAAGTAAGATAATACAGCTATTTGGTCCTACTGGCTAAGGCAGACAGTTTGAGAATGGATCAAGATTATAGAAATACATGAAAGATGGTAATAAAGGTATTTTTTGTAACTGAGAAAGCAGTGGCAAGGTCTTCTGTACAAGAGGAGAGGAATTAAATCAGAACTATCATCTGGGTTGTGAGCTTGGCTTTACTATGGTAGAAGCTGGAAAGGGCAAACTGAAAATGTACGAGATAAATTTAGTAATGAATGAGTAAGACTGCTACCATCCAGAGAATACTGAGAGAAACAACAGGAGGTTAAAGAACCCCTATGGCGCTGAACCTGTGATCAGAAAGGTGAGGAAAGCCAAAAAAGGCATAATTCTTGAGGAAGAATATATGAAGACACCACAGAGGTCAAACAGAATTAGGCTAACAGAGACCATATTAATTCTGCCCCCTGCACACTGAATGAGCCAGAAAAAATAGCCTATAAGCATATAATTAAAATCGTAGTATAATTCACGTGTACCAGGGGACAGAACAGTTTGCATAGGCAAATGTAAATCTGCCATTTCCTTAATTTTGATTATGCATTTCTGCAGCAAAAATAAGTCTCTTGACAAATGTATGGCATAGTCTCAGCAATTACTGACCCTTTAACTAATTTTGTAGGAGGTATGAAAACCAGACCAGCATCCTGAGATGCATTCACATTTTCAGCCATCACTTTCCATTAACATTAGGTTTGTATTTAAAACACGTATGTGCACTCTTGTAGAAAAAAAGAACCAAATAATTTATTTTCAGTAACAATATATAACATTTATACAATATTTCTTGTTAAAAACTCCCATGATTTTCCATACAGACACAAGAGGAAGCCTTTGAATCACTATTTACTAACGATTTTTGCTTCTTAAGTACAAAATGAAACAGGTTAAAGATGTTCATGAAAAAACCTTCAGGGTTAGGCATGGTGAGCTTGGTAAGATAAAAAATGTGGACCATGGTTTATTCATTTCTGCTTTTTTACATATACCACCCTGATCACCACCCCCTGAAGTGGTATTGGACTCTGGACTGCTTGACATATACCTTTAAAAAAAGCGTAATTTATCTGAGAGAATAAAAATAGTGCTAGTAATTCAGTCAGCCCAAGCTTATAGCTCTTACTGACAACTCTGTCTTCTGTCTAACTCCTTAGAACAGTGATTTTCAACCAGGACACGATAGGAAAATCCTGGGGTGCCTCGAGACCCTTTCAGGGGTGATGCTGGGTACCACACAATGTTAGCATTTTTAGGTGGGCAAAAAATGATTCACAAGATAATCCCAGAGGTTTTGAATAGGAATCTGTCATGTTAAAAACACCAAGTGAAAACTAAGACCTGGCTTTTTTGAAGGGTGCTTTGAGTGAGGTGCCCTGAGTCTAAAAAGGTTGAGAAGCACTGCTCCAAAGGAGTGTCTCTAGATATACTGTGAAACCTGTGGCCGGGGTGGCATTCGGTCACTCACCACCCCACCCCATGCCACCGCTGGTTTCACATCTGGCTGCTCGCCACCTCCCCCTCCTGCTGCTGGCTTCTTCGGCTGCTTGCCACCCTCCCCTCCCGCCACTGGCTTCCTCAGGGCAGGGGCCCCCAAAAATTGTTGGCGAGCCCTGTCTCTGGCACACGTATGACCACGTATATTTGAAGGAAAGAACAACTACCTAAGTCAGGGAGAAAGCTTACTTTTACAAGGCAAGTATCCATATTCACTTATGTGTAAGAACTGACATTTATGACAAATGTATGCATTGATGTATTGCAGGTAGCACTCTTTATGGGGACTGTTGCCGTGCAGAGCAAAGTGCATTCTACACTGAACTGGCAACAGCAAAGCCACTCTGTAGCCGGGGAAAACAAACCAGTTTATGACTGCTCTCAGTTTGGAGTCAAGGTGAAGACAGCTTATGCTTGGTACTCCTCCTTCCCTGGTGCCTCCATAGAGAGGCAACCAGCTGTGGTTATGCCAGCTGTCCTTCTGGAGCAGTGGTTCTCAACTTTTTTAGACTCTGACTATCCATCCCTGGGCTTAAGGCACCCCTCAAAAAACATCAGCTCTTCACTGCTGCTGGATTCTCAGCTATGGAAAAATAATGGAGCTGTTTTTCCCTTGCAAAAAACTGACTCCTGTTTGAAATCTCTGGGCCTGTCATGTGAATGGTGCTGGCACACACAACAGTGCTGCTGTGGCAGGGCACCCTTCAAAGGCTCTCAAGGACCCCCAGGGAGCTGCACAGCACCTGGCAGAGAATCACTGCTCCAGCGCCATGAGGTTAATTGTGCGGGTGTCTGTCCTCCCCTCAGTGCCAGTATGGGGAAGCACCCCGGCCCTGCATCACTGCTCTGGGGGCTGCCCCCATACCACCTTCTGCAACCAGCGTTGCCAGGTCTTAAATATGAAGTTTTGGTATTGGAAGCTCGAAATTATTGTATTTGCTGAAAAACTATGATATGCTGACAAAGAAATATGTAAATAAATATGCAAGTGAAAATGCAAATAAGCCATTTTCTTTTTACTTTGTATTGCACGCTGTAACTTTCCGGTGAGTGAGAACTGGGCCACCACAACTGAAATATTTCTTTATCTTGAGGTAAGCAGTTATAAGAAAGTGTTGATAGGAAACCCAAGAGTCACTCATGCTTACCTGGCAGGAGAAATACCATGACTATGATGATGGCAGGGGAAGTACCCTAACTGAAATAATGCAATTAAAATGGCACTGTGTAGTATAGGGTTACACCCTTGTCTTTTTGTGGAGAGCCTCACAGTTAGCTTCCCACTGCTCAGCTTGCAGTGGGAGGATCTTAGTTACATGCTGACTTTTATAGAAATGGGGGATTCCTCCTTAGCTTGCCCCTGGAGCCTTGCAGCTGAGGGCGAACCAAACTCAGAGGCATCCAAACCCCAAGCATCCAGGTGTGGACCTGCACGTGAGATGCCAACCAAACGACTTGGAAACATCTGAAGCCCCAAGCAGGGGCAGAGGATGTTTGCTGGTAGCAGGGCCACATTTGGTTCTTGAATGACTCACAGATTTGGAATGGATTTAGCGGATTTGACTTGGAACATGAAACCACTTCCTTAAAAACAACCCCCTCCCACCCAAAAAAAGGCAGTCAAGGCTTCCTGAGAGTGACTATGCTGCATCAATTACCTGCTTCAAAATTATCGTATCTTTTGAGCATTTTTCCTATTATTCACCATGCATCCTTCAAGGGTGAAAACTAGGGTACAAATATAATTACTGTACACCTGGCAACACCGCCTACAACACTGGGCCGAGACACGTGCTCTGGCGGCGGTGGACATCCCCTGAGAGCGCCGGCTCTGGGAGTCGCGGGATCATGCCCGCCCCCTGCCCCGCTCAGCTCGGCCACGTTCCGCAGCGCGTGGGCCACACTGGAACACCGCAGAGCCTCCCCGCACCATGTGCGCGTGCGCAGAAAAGAGCGCGGAGAAAAGCATACACCCCTTCCTCCTAAGCTCAACCTGCAGCCTGCAAGAGACAGCCCCGCCACAGGGTTCCTACGGCGCGCGAAACGGCCCAATCTCCTTCGAGCTCGGCACCAGCTCGTTCACCCCCCGCCCCCCAGCTGCGACTTCTCAGGGGGCGGGGCCAGGACGCGGTGACGCAAGGGGCCGGCGAGCGTGGCGATTGGCTGCGGGGCGCGGCGGCGGCGGGAGTTTGCAGAATGGCGGCGGCGGAGCCTCCGCGGGACGCGCCGTGGCCTGAGGGTGCGGGAGCCGAGGCCGCGTTCGTGCGCGCGGTGCTGGCGCTGCCCGCAAAGCCCGACACCACCGTGCGCTTCCTGGAGCGCGGCGATTACTACACGGCGCATGGCGCGGACGCGCAGCTGGCCGCCCGCCGGCTCTTCCGCACCCGCGCTGTCCTCCGCTACCTGCCCGGCGCGCCCGGTACGGACACGGCTGGCGGAGTTCGGGCCTCTCCCCCTGGTTC